GATACTGACGGTTGACCTGCTCTTCTGCATAATGAGGACCTTCTCATCTGCTATTAACAGTGAAAACCTTCTGACCAGCTCTATGGAACACTGAGGACCTTCTGACCCGCTCTGAGGAACACTGAGGACCTTCTGACCCGCTCTGAGGAACACTGAGGACCTTCTGACCCGCTCTGAGGAACACTGAGGACCTTCTGACCCGCTCTGAGGAACACTGAGGACCTTCTGACCCGCTCTGAGGAACACTGAGGACTTTCTGACCCGCCCTGAGGCACAGTGAGACCTTCTCTGCTTTGATGTATATGAGAAGATTCTGATATGCTCTAAGCCCAGTGAGGACCTCTGAGCTCACTGTGGACCTTCTGACCCTACCCAAACCACTTGGTTTGTCATGACATGTTCCGGAGCAGTAGAGGTGTCAGCTGTGCCACTTTCAGTGAGGGGCCCCTGAGGGACTCTCGGGGGCATGAGGGCCCCTTCCACACAAAGCTATGTGCAACATCTCCTTTTGTGATGTGGACAGTAAAGTAGACCAGTACTTCCAGCCTACTCTGTACATCATAGTCATCGTGCTTGGGCTGCCCACCAACTGCATGGCTCTGTGGGCCGCATACATGCAGGTACGTCACCCCCAAGACCCCAAGACCTGTACTGTACCGTGCTGGCCCCAGGTCATCGTGGTACAGTATGGGTCTTGGGGCTCCAAATGTGCTTAAAAACTAACATATAAGCATCAAATAATCATTTCTCAGCAAATGCTGACTTGAGCCGATTGGCAAAACAAAGATATCATTTTTGCAACAGCTGTTTCCTGTTTATAGATGCAGGGCTCTGGTATAAAGACATATTATATTTCCAGTGCATCACATGAGCCAAACCTAAAGCATCACATAAAGAGAGGCTAAAAGGTCATGTAGAGGTGCAGAGAAATAAACGAAATGCAATAAAAACTGACAATAAACCCAAAGTAGTTTAATGTTTAAGATAGCTTTAGCTTTAGGCTTTTCTCACAGTGCCACAAAGTGTGAATTACTAAACATATTTTTGTCAAGCGCTGAGATCAGCATTAGAATTACAAGTATAATTTAGATATGAACTCAATTTTATATATTGAGAAGACAGGAGTTCTGTTTGGGTGATGTCAGCGTCTCATAGAGCAGAGCTCGGCCCCTGGACCCAGAGCCTGGAAACACCTGTGAGCCACACCAAACAGACCCTTCAGAGATGGTCCTAAGTGAACCATATCAATGGAAAAGACTAAACTAGGTCTGGCCTGCATAGGCCCTGCTTCTGGACCATGTGACCACAGTAGGCTGCTGTGTTGCAGGTGCGGCAGAGGAACGAGCTGGGGGTGTACCTGATGAACCTGTCTGTGGCCGACCTGCTGTACATCTCCACCCTCCCGCTGTGGATCGACTACTTTCTGCAGCGCGATGACTGGATCCATGGGCAGGAAAGCTGTAAGCTCTTCGGCTTCATCTTCTACACCAACATCTACGTGAGCATCGCATTCCTCTGCTGCATCTCCCTGGATCGTTTCCTGGCTGTGGCCTATCCTCTGCGCTTTGCCAAAGTGCGCCGTGTCAAGACAGGTCAGTGCGTTTGACCCTGGTCTTAAGCCGACTCAAAGTAAATGTGGGACTACCATGAGTGTCAATAAATGTGGAGCCACACTGGTTAGAGGTCAGATTGTGTTTACACTGAGTAAAGCCTCCTTCAGTATGAAAGCCCATGTGACCTAACCACCTGCCCCTGTGCTGTAGCTCTTAAATAAATAAATAAATAAATAAATAAATAAATAAATAAATAAATAAATAAGAATGCAATATTGAATGCCTAACCTGTGTGTATCTTCTGCAGCTATGCTGGTCAGCGCTGTGGTGTGGATCATTGAGATTGTGGCCAACTCTGCTCCTCTTTTCCACGACGAGCTGTTCCAGGACCGCTTCAACCACACCTTCTGCTTTGAGAAGTACCCCATGCAGGACTGGGTGGCGGGCATGAACCTATACAGGACGTTTCTGGGATTCCTGGGCCCTTGGACGGCCATGTTGGTAGCTTACCGAGGGATCCTGGCAGCAGTGCGTTGTAATGTGTCCACAGAGCGTGAGGAAAAGGCTAAGATCCAACGTCTGGCTCTGAGCCTGATCCTGATTGTGCTGCTGTGCTTTGGGCCCTACCACACTCTGCTGCTGGTGCGCTCCATCATGTTCTTGAGGAGGCCCTGTGACTGCAGCTCAGAGGAGAACCTGTTTGCCGCCTACCACGTGTCTTTGGCCTTGACAAGTCTCAACTGTGTGGCGGATCCCATCCTATACTGCTTTGTCAACGAAGGGGCACGCAATGACGTGGGTCGAGCTCTGATGGCCCTACTGTCTGCAGCCTGCCACAGAGGCTCCGCCTCCTCGCCCTCCCACGCCGACATTATCACAGGCTCTGTTACCATGGATACACCATTATCCACCAAGAAATATGCCTGTGTGTTCACTGATACTGATAAGAACAACAGCTACAAGACAGAGTTGGTGGCTTTGAAACAGGAGTGCCTGCAGATGACTATCCTCAGGAAGTGAGCAGTAAGTCTGGCTTTCACTGCTCTGTGAGCACAAAGTCTGGTTCTGAGCCCGACGCACAGGGTCCAAGCAGTGCTACCATTAGTGAAACTATTTTGTATTTCATTTGAACAGTTAACGTGGTCCAAATAAAGTCTTCTTATTGTAACTGCTAGCTGCTCCACTTTTTTCTTTATGTCTTCAAATCCGGGCTCCGCTCTGATAAGGGGTCCCTACAGAAAAATCCCTATAACATTATGAATGCTGAAGTACCATTTTGAGCTTATGTGTTTCCAGAGTGGACATTGGCTGGAATGCCCAGGCTGCAGTAGCCAGAGGAAGACACTTTTGTCCTGAGGGGTGCTACTTTCCTCAAACTACTCATAACACAGTAACTGCTGACCCTACTTGACCAGTCCTTCTGTTAAACTTTTCTTTTAGAGTTGTTTTTTATACTTGCATTTAACTTTTCTCTGATCTTAATTCACCTCTCAGGGATCCATTATTTGTCTGATGAATTTGTTTAGTTGTTGTTTTTTTTTTATGTAACATGCACTTGCAACTGAAAAAGAGAGGCATTTTATTGTCTTTTGTACTGGCCAAAAATAGATATATGTCCATTAAAGTTCAAGGGAAACTTGAGTCCGGAGATCGCTCAACATTTACACAGATTTGGATTATTATCATGATTTTCATCTTTCAATTTAAGTCTTCCCGGAGGGAGAATGGAGGGAATTCATTTGTGGTGAATGAGGCTGTAGCGGCTGGTGGGGGCTTGTTCCTAAAGAAACAAACTGTTTCTAATGATATCTGAACTCCTCATGACAGTTTATTATTATGGCATACGATAACATCATATCTCAATAAGCACTTTTATTTTCAGCCTGGGACGTGCTTCTCCACAGCACATGTTCACACATGACCATCTCAGATTCTGCTTCTGTCTCCTCATAAGACCACTACAGGTCCTCCACAAAGAGGACCACAGAGGGTATCACACAGGGCACCACAGAGGGACCACAGAGGGACCACAGAGGGACCACAGAAGGACCACACAGGGACCACACAGGGACCACATAGGGACCACAGAAGGACCACATAGGGACCACAGAAGGACCACAGAGGGACCACAGAAGGACCAAAGAGGACCACAGAAGGACCACAGAGGACCACAGACAGCTCTACAGTGGGACCATAAATGGACCACAGAGGGACCATGGACAGCTCCACAGAGAGATCACAGGCTGCTCCACAGAGGGACAACAGACAGGTCCACAGAGGGATCACGGGGGCAGCACCTGCAGCCCAAGAGGGAGCACAGAGGGAGCACAGAGGGGAGCACAGAGGGGAGCACAGAGGGGAGCACAGAGGGGAGCACAGAGGGGAGCACAGGCAGCTCCACGGGGGGTAGCACAGCTGTATGTTTGCTGTATGTCCGGCCGCTGTGTGCAAAGGACATGTTCTCACGGTTCCCAGAGACAAACAGACCCAGGACAAATAAACTCACTCACACATAGTGGACGTGCCGCCTTCAGGCAAGACTCTACAGACAACACTCTTCTTATTCAAGCTTTAGTTTTTTGTAATTTTTGCTCTCTCCTCATATAAGATTTCACGTGGAAAGAACAACATTGTGCAATCTGCCCCTACACATGGTTTATTATTTCATTTAATGCATCCACACATTAAGGGGACAACTTCAAAGGCATTTTCTCAGCGTATTTCCCTCACAGGGACACTCAGATCTCACCTTAAAGTGTCATCTACACACACCCAAGTCTACAGTCTAGTACTTAAAGGGGCTTTATCTGATTTTGCCCGTTTCAAAAAACAGAATGCGTTCATTTGAAACAGTTTGCATTTGCAAGTTCTTCCTCACTTACCTTATGCATTCTGACCATCCTAATTATTCACCATGATGTGTTTAATAGTGCTTTTCACAATTCTCACACACCAGAGGAGTTTTGCTGTGATGGTAAAACTAACAACAACTAGCATGTTAATGTGCACTTCCTGATTATTGGACAGTAAAATGCTTTATAAGTAGATGCAGTCAGTACACACTGGAGCTGCACGTACAGTACGTCTGTACTGGGGCACATTTTGCTCAAATACATGGGACAAAATCAGGGACAGGGCTTTAATGAGGTTTACTCAGAAACTAAATAAGATATTCTAAATCCCCTCCCTATGTATTTACCAACATAAAATGCCTCAAATGTACAGGCCCATATAAAAAACACTACATGATGTAAAAATTACAATAGGCCTGCATTTCGCTTCTTCCATTTATAATTCATCATCATGTCTCAAGTGTTCCAAGTGTTCCATTCAGATCTAGGCTGCAGTTCTCTGAGGTGACTGCTGCTGTGAGAAATAAAAATATACTTCACACAGCAGTCTCCTCTCTGCCCTTGTGAGAATGCCCCCTACAGGACAGTCCATCATTTCACACAGACTGACCTGCAGGAGAAGTGTGATATGCGGACGGTAGGTGGCGCCATAGTCCAGCATAAGGAGCTCAGGCCTCTTCTCCATCAAATCTGCTCAGACACTGAAGACAAAGTCGTTAGCCTCATGTTAAACCAGTGAGGATTTGAACATTGTCTGGTAAACCGACAGACGTTCCCCATGGAGGTTATTGCGGTAAGAGTTGTGTAGTCCTCACTTACATTTCCTTGCGTAACTTTATAAGGAAATTGTACTTTTTAGAGGACTTTTGTAGAAACATACTTTTACTCCTACATGAGAAATATGTTTCTCATGTTGAAGTAATAATACTCTTACTTGAGTAAAAGATGCGGTTCCTTTTCTCAGTGTCTTCAAGACATAAGCTTTATATGACAATATGAAATGATTTGAACATTTGTGTTTCTTGCAGCTCTTTCAGATATGATTTAGTTTGTCTCATTTTTGTGTTTTGTAACAACTAAACTATAAGCGCGAAATAATAATAGGCAACTTGAAGCCATGTAATTAAAGAGCCCATATGAGACTATTTTATGATCTATGTTCTAATGTTGTTTCCTCATCACAAACAGACCTGGAGTTGTGTTTTGTTTCATTCACATGTTTCTCTCAAACTGAAAATACTCTGTTCTACCTTGTGATGTCATGTGGTAATACAGAAAGTGACGTCCTTCAGTAGAATCATTTGGGTAATTTCAGCTCTGGACTTGCTAATCTCTATTACACAAAAGGCAAAAGGAGCTGTTAACTTGATACTACAGCTACATGACGTCTACAAGGTGGAACAGGACATTTTCAGCTTTACAGACTAATAATAAAGAGTTACTCAAACACAACTGCAGGTCTGTTTTTGAGGCAATTTTGTGTTTTAAAGAACCTTTAAAGGAGTTGAGTTTGAAAAATTAAAACAGTAACATCTGAATCATAACATTTGATTTTCGTTGTAACTTTGCTTAAGATCTTTAAAAGGATGATGTCATTCTGAGAAATAAAAGAGAAACGGGGGATGGGACAAGACACACAAGAGTGAGATCAGGTCCACGAGAACAGCACAAGTTTGACCTCAAAAGTGTCTCATTAGCTTTGACTGACCAGTGCCGGTACGGTCCCCCTGTTGTTCGTGAAAGTGAAGACTATTATCCTGCCTTTACCCATAGTCCCACCAGCCTGTACGTGTTACAGGATCACACAGTGGACACAAAGTCCTCCAGAGATCATTTCAAACGTTATAAACTTTGTGTAAATACTTCACCAGAAAACACTTCAGTAAAGATATGGTGTCCTGGTGTGATACTTATGCACTTCTTGGTGTAGTTCTGGTGTAGTCCTGGTGTAGTTCCTGTGTAGTCCTGGTGTAGTTCCTGTGTAGTCCTGGTGTAGTTCCTGTGTGGTCCTGGTGTAGTCCTGGTGTAGTCCCTGTGTAGTTTCTGTGTAGTCCTGGTATAGTTCCTGTGTAGTCCTGGTGTAGTCCTGGTATAGTTCCTGTGTAGTTTCTGTGTAGTCCTGGTTTAGTCCTGGTATAGTTCCTGTGTAGTTCCTGTGTAGTCCTGGTGTAGTTCCTGTGTGGTCCTGGTGTAGTCCTGGTATAGTTCCTGTGTAGTTTCTGTGTAGTCCTGGTTTAGTCCTGGTATAGTTCCTGTGTAGTCCTGGTGTAGTTCCTGTGTGGTCCTGGTGTAGTCCTGGTATAGTTCCTGTGTAGTTTCTGTGTAGTCCTGGTTTAGTCCTGGTATAGTTCCTGTGTAGTCCTGGTGTAGTTCCTGTGTGGTCCTGGTGTAGTCCTGGTGTAGTCCCTGTGTAGTTTCTGTGTAGTCCTGGTTTAGTCCTGGTATAGTTCCTGTGTAGTCCTGGTGTAGTCCTGGTATAGTTCCTGTGTAGTCCTGGTGTAGTTCCTGTGTAGTCCTGGTGTAGTTCCTGTGTGGTCCTGGTGTAGTCCTGGTGTAGTCCCTGTGTAGTTCCTGTGTGGTCCTGGTGTAGTCCCTGTGTGGTTCCTGTGTAGTCCTGGTGTAGTCCTGGTATAGTTCCTGTGTAGTCCTGGTGTAGTCCTGGTGTAGTCCTGGTATAGTTCCTGTGTAGTCCTGGTGTAGTCCTGGTATAGTTCCTGTGTAGTCCTGGTGTAGTCCTGGTGTAGTTCCTGTGTAGTCCTGGTGTAGTTCCTGTGTAGTCCTGGTGTAGTCCTGGTGTATAGTTCCTGTGTAGTCCTGGTGTAGTCCTGGTGTAGTCCTGTGTAGTGTGTGTTCCTGTGTAGTCCTGGTGTAGTTCCTGTGTAGTCCTGGTGTAGTTCCTGGTGTAGTTCCTGTGTAGTCCTGTGTAGTCCTGTGTAGTCCTGGTAGTTCCTGGTGTAGTCCAGGTGTAGTTCCTGTGTAGTCCTGGTATAGTTCCTGTGTAGTCCTGGTATAGTTCCTGTGTAGTCCTGGTGTAGTCCTGGTGTAGTCCTGGTTAGGGTTGTGGTTGTAAGGCTGCTTTGTTGGACGACTATGTGGGGGAATTCTAAATGAGCTGAAGTTTGGATGCGACGTGTTGGGACTACAGAGCAGTCTCGGTCCCAGGCTCAGAGACGGCGGTGGGGGTGGGGATGGGTGGGGGTTGTTTGGCGCTGTAGCAGGAGGAGGGGGTAGGGTGGTGGGTGCTGTGGGGGATTGGGTGGTTATAAATGGGAAAGCATCCATGTCCTGTGCTCCTCTGCAGTCTTATTTTTTTCTCAGTTGTGGCCCACATCAGTCGACCTGTGCCGATGTGAGCATTTCCATGGCAACACAAACCT